CAACGCTGATGTTGATACGAATGCACCAGAGTAGTTTGATGCCCTTCAGTACAGGGAAAAAAACAGACTATCTATTTGGTAAGGTGTGATGGAACGTATCGTGACAATTACAGTGTCGCTGAGGCAAAGTGGATGCAGGAACAAAAGCGTTATGGTTACGTTGACTTTTGAAACAAATCCAAGAACCTCACAACATTTGCGAAAGCGAAGGAAAAGGGTCGGTTTGAGACGCCATTCACCTATAAATAAAGAGTGGTTAGATGAGACAATTGCAGGATAGTTAATCTGGTGACAAGTTTCGGCTGGAAGCAATACAAACCTCCCATCCTGTCTAAAAAAGCGAGGGAATGCCGAGGATCAAAGTTTCAATGGCTCTGCCAAATCCTACCTTGGTGTAAAAATGACAATGCCAAGGACTTAAATCAGGGTGGGATCCACCTTCGAAGAAGCTAGAGCTAGGAACCAGGATGCATAGCTAATGACTTTAGTGGTATGTGCATGCAAGGCACATCCCATACAGACAAGCGATGAGGAAGTCCGTATATGAAGGATCCCGTTCGAGTGAAACTGCTACCATTATGTGCGCCAAGTCTGTAAATGATGGAAGAGGAAGCATGAAGAAATGATAAAGTTGCATATCCAGGAAGATGAAGGTACGTCAGTAGGATAAGTCGGAACCCACACTGAGCCTAAAACGAGAATCGAGTGGCTATCGGCAACATATCAGAGATGCGGGGAGGGCAGATAAGGACGCTGAAAGTGGAGCTATCAGCACGAGCAGGCACCGGACTGAGCAGCACCTACAGAGGGCTGCGACGAAGTAGTAGCGGTGAGATTGACCGTTTGGAGATGGGAGCTTTTGCTTTCACTCAGGAGGCGATTAACGCCCAACTCGCCTGACTTCATCTTACTTAGGATGACCCGTACGCACGACGTGAAGGCGTCATCGATATTTTCCCCTGTCAAAGCTGAAGTCTCGATGAACTGTAACTCATTTTCCTGCGCAAATGTATTCGCCTCCCAATGGGTCACTTGACCATCCGTATCCTGTAAGGCGAACAGTTACATGCAGATGACAATATTAACGTTATTTTGCGAATTTATTGCCACGTAAAAGATTCATAGGCAAATGTATTCATATATTCCAACAAAGAAATTTAATTACCATAGTCTGGTCGAGTTAATACGACATGAAGTGGCAGACTACAAATGCTGTGAAGTGGAAATATGCAATTTACTAATTGGTTCCAGGCACTGGGTCACACCAGTCAAATATGTAAAGGACTAGCTTAATTTAATAGCGATACCATTACTAATCTCAAAATGTACCTAAGATTTGCATTTGCGACTACTCGATGGATAAAGGTAGGCCAAAAGATCCCCAACCTGAAGATCCTTCTTGTTACCGACGAGGATCACAACGACACCAGGGGTGGCAAGTTGACGCGCATCGCCTAACCACTGTTCAACGGCACTAAAAGAGGCGCGGTTGGTGATATCATAGACCAGTAGAGTGCCAACCGCATCATGGAAGTAAGCCCTAGCCAATGAGCGGAACCGTTCCTGACCTAAAAAGCCAAGAGAATCAACATAAAGTTCTAACGAGACTACTTCGGATCAGTAGAAAACTATACTAGAACAAAACACATAAAATCCTGACGACATAGTATTCGACCACCTAAAAAATTCAAGTTCATAAAAGCCAAATGTCATAGCATAATCAGCAACCTACCAGCAGTATCCCAAATCTGAATCTTAACGTGGGTTCCGTCTACGTTGATGATTCGATTACCAAATTCAGCTCCAATAGTATGCTGTGTGTTGGGGAAAAACTTTCGTTCCGTATAACGCCTAAGGATGCAAGTTTTGCCAGTCCCAGCATCGCCGATAATCAGAAACTTGAGGACGTAATCAAACCGATCAGACTTCATTTGGCAGACTTGATGCACCCTATGTAATGAAGGAAAAATAGGTGGTGTATTATCAACAGCGAAATGCGACGTTCATGAGACCATAAAATGTGCTATTCACATTCATAGCAAGACATGCGCAGTAGTCATTTCAAGGGCAAAGAATGACAAAAATACCAGATACATCTCAGATAAAAAATGGTAGACAAAATTTTGGCTGAATATGGAAAGAGCCATCTAGCAGCCATCCAACAGTGGCTACCAACCTTGAGAAAGCTCACAGATTTTACGATATTTAAGAGCATCATATTGTAAAATAACTTGAGTTCAAAAATGATCTGTCGACACAAAAATAAATTGAAACTATGAAATAAGTATCCGGTAACCTAAGCGATAAATACTTCATAAAATTGTGGTTCATGAAACCGTCGCAAGCAAGCAAAGAAAAAATTGTTCCGGAAAGGTAAAAATTACTTACTTGAAATTATACCTTCCACCGGTTTTTTACTTCTAACATTGAACCTGACTGCAAATTTACGTCCGCATTTCCAAAGCGTAGAGCTTTATTTATTTGACAAGTTTTACAAATAAATATCGAAAGGTAGGCCAAGACGGCGTCAGATTAAATGTTCAAAATGATTTATTTATGTGTCCACATGGCAGTAGGCAGTTACCTTAGGATTTTGCGGCTCTTGTACACTGGGTTGGTTTTGGTCGATGCCCAGGCCCATTTGGCCTGTCGACTTCAGAATGTATGTATCCAATCGCATCCCAAGACCTCCTGGTTGGTAAAAGAAACCAGCAAGTGCAGCTGGATGCATGTATTCTGAGTGCCTCGGAAAGCGCCTTCCACTAGGTGTCA